AACTAAAAAGTTGCAGTAACTCATTTATGCAAATGATTTTTTTTGGGGTAAAAATAATAAAATAACATTATATTATTAAACACTAGGTCATTTCTTGGCTTTTCACCTACCATTATAAGCCCGCCTATTACAACGCTCCTCTATTATATAAGCAAAAGCGATGTGTCAATAAATACAGACACATAAATGCAGAGACACATTTGATAGTCAGTGGTTTTGATGTGGATATTTGTGTGTGTGTGTGTGGGGTTTGTGTTTTGTCAAATAATTGATAGATTTATTTGATGGCATCTTTTGACTATTTTGTTACTCAACACTCATGGTCTACAATCCCCTATGTTGAAACTTGAACCCAACGTTAAAGTCATTGAACAACTCAATAATTCCCCAAATCTTGCCTCCACTATTCTAATACAAAAAAAAAAAAAGAAATTTCAAAGTTAGGTTTGAAAAGAATAGTCAGACCTTTGCTTCCATGAATGGACAAAGACTATCAAGACCAAGAACAAAATTTCATTTAGATAAATTCACCTCCTCACAGAATCAGTGATGTATATAACTATCGAAGTCTGAATCTTGATAATTCTTTAGAGTTAGGTCAGGTCATGAGAAATTTATCTTTCATGAATAAACCCTAATTCCGATATAGATAGTTTGTCTTTGACTGAACTGGGGTAGGGATTAATCAAGAAGAGATTAAATTGATTCGGATACTAAGACCAGAGTTTAATAAAGATCATCCAAAGAAAACGAGTTTATCCAATCAATCCTTCTTAGTAACCCTCGATTAAACACGGACAGTTTCAAAAAAATGGCGTTTTTTAAGTTGTAAGAGTGATGTAGAAAAGAAAGTTTGTGTTAAGAGTAACATACATAAGTATTGAGTTGCCTGACAAAGCTAGAGAAGTTGCTGTGCTTGAAGAGTTTTGGAAGCAAATCTCTGGCGAATTCCGCCGGTTGCCACACCACAAAACCACTCCCGTCGTCGTTCCACGACACGATTTCATCGGTCTCACGATCCTCCACTAGCATATAGGTTTTCAACAAGAAAGGTGGTGGTGAAGATTTTCTCACATATTCTAACAAACCCTTTTCAAATTCAAGCTCCATGATCACATCAAGAGAGAGAGAGAGAGAGAGAGAGAGAGGTATATGTGTGTGTGTGTGTGTGTGTGTGTGTATTGTGTAACTAACTAGCAAGAGGAAGAAGAAGGGTGGTGACGATGATTTATTGTGAGTAGAAGAGAAGGGCAGTTAAGAACTCCCAACCCCAACAATAGAAACCCAAGACGACTCCGCAGTTCATGAGAAATGCAAGAGCTTCGCCTTGTCTCTCTCTCTCTCTCTCTCTCTCTCTCTCTCTCTCTCTTGTCTCTCTACGAAGAAAGACCTGGTTTAAACGTATGTTTTATGTTTAACTCTTCTTTTATACTTACAAACTTGGGATACCCAATGTGTATTCTGTGATAATGTTTCTATCATATATGCACAAAAGTCAACACTTGTGTGGTTGAAGATTTTGAGTTCGGATATCAACCAAACTTTAGACGGTGAAAGTTCTGCCAATCACAATCACATGATAAAATTCGAACGATCAAATCTGATTACCTCGTCGCTTAACATGTGTTTGATGTCTATCTAATGAGATGATCAAGTCTTAGTCACTCAATTCTCACCGTGTAATTTTGCATATTGAAAATCAACCATACTTATTTAGATGACTATGATTACAAGGTGTGGACCCACCAATAGTATATGACTTTTGACGGATTTTCTATTCCATTGTTGTACAAGAGGTTTCAAGACCAACTAACAATTCAAACGGACTAAGTTATGATTCAATGAGATTGGCACATTTACACGAATTTTCTTTTTTTTTTACTTGTAAAAAAGACGGATAAACGACTAATAAGTAATAATCTTCCCGGAGTGTGACTATAAAGATTTTTTTACCGTAGAATGTTTAGTTTGAGTCATATCTATTAACCCAAAAGAATAGTCTATCACCATAATACTACTAAAGTCAAGTAATACATCGTGTTACTTTCATGAAACAAACCTTACTTGATAACTACATGGGAATCAAGAACAATCTTCAACGAGTGTGATTTACCGCTGGAAAATCGGCTTGGGTGGTATATAGATGAATTTTCACCTAAACTTTTTAACTACAATTTTTTTCAAATATTATTTGACAGGGACCCAACTATATCAAAAAAATTCCCCAACATATAATAGCATTATTTACCTCATTGATACATGCGGCTGCCAATGACTAAATTGAGTGTGGATTGTCTTGTTATTTAATTTTCCACAAGTTTAGTATTTGTTTAGTTAATGTAGGTGTGATGGTACTATCCCAAAGTCCTTTCTCTTAAATTCTTACATTAAAATTTCTCTCTATTCCAAATTTTCTAACTCTTGATTTTGATTTTTGTCTTCCATTCTGATATAATGTTTTTGGATCTTTTTTTGGCTTTAAATGACTTTTTTGACTTTATTTGCACTTCTTTGTCTAAGTTTCTGTACATAAGTAGTCTTGGACCCAGTTGCACTCTAGCGCGTGTAATGTCTTATCCACTACTTTGGAGTGGATTTTAATTCGAATCCGATCCGGAAGATTCAGATATCCTAAATTTGAATTTTCGTAACATTTTAGAGTCAAATTATGAAAGATTTAATTTTTATAAATACCCTAATTTCAACGTGGATGGTCTATCTTTGATCAGACCGGAAAGAGAATTTTTTTTTTTTTTGAAAAGGAGAGGGAATTAATTGAAATATGCATAAATTAACTCGAACATCCCTAATTATTGAACACAAAATATGTATATACTAGTCATAACACGTGTTTGAAGGCACACTGAGACATAAGATTTTTACAATCAAAAAATTGATCCCACTATACTAAATTTAAAATTAATTTCTTTACTTACATTATTTAAAATTAATTTCTACATATTATTTTTTTTAAAATAGCGTCAAAATTTTATAAAAATGTATAACTCAACAAATTTTTTTCAACATGTGTACACTATCGTGTATGAATAATATATGAAATAAAAGTTGTGTTAAACTACAAATTAACCAAATATTAAATGATTGAATATATAATAGAATTGGGTAATGTGATATTTTTTGGAGAGTAAATGTATAGGAGATAAAGATTCAACTTGCTAACTGATTTATTATATATATTTAATTGATAGATATTATTGTATATGCATATATACTTAGTTAGATTATTAATAAAATTTATATGAAATTAAAAAAAAATATTAAATAGAATGTGCTTAATGATGAAAAGGGAAGAAAAAAAAAGAAAGTGAAGGTGCTTTAAGATTGGACTACTAAAGTGACTCATCCATCAATCTAGAGACTCAAAAATAATGCAATGACTCACGATTAATTATTATCATTGTGTGAAACTAACTAACATCATTATGACGGTTTATTGGTAATTATTAGATCATGCCACAAATACAACAACAGTGGGTCACTATTAGAATTGAGACTGGAACTAATTATTACAATGATATCATCATATAAAGTTTTATTTTTTTTATATACAACTAAAAAAATTAATATTATCGATGACTTTTTGAATAAAGTTTCCAATTTTGTTACTATTTGACCCTTTTTGTGATAAAATTTTGGTTGCGTCTTCCAAAACCGCGTTGTGTGAGTAGAAGGGTCTGGGGTTGAGGAAGAGGAGGTGATATTATTCAAGGCCTATGGACGCGTTGGGAAGCTTCTGTTTGGTTGGGGCAGCTCAGCTTTCTTGACCTTCATTCAGTCCATCCATTGCTCATTTTAAATACACAAAAAACACACCTCTCTCTCTCTCTCTCTCTCTCTATATATATATATATCTGCTGGTTTTGTCCAAGTCCCCCCTCACCAACCGCAGATTGTTTTCCCACTTAAAACCCATATTTTGGTGACTATTTCTAGTATGAAAAAGTTTTCCAACGTGAGGCCAAACCTTGACTGAGATATATGTGATGTACAAGACATTCTAGTAGTTTTTGTTTTCAAGAGTCTACTTGGTAGATAGTCTCACTTGATCCATAACAACAGTTACAACCCTCATGAATTGTCTGATGGTGTGGGACTAGCTTAGGACAAATCATAAACTTGAATGTTTTGCCGCAACTGGTGGAGCCAGTAAAGGACTAGGGTGGGCGGTACCCGGGTTTCTATTCAAAATCGAGTATTAATAGTTCCACATTTATATTTTTTAAAAATAATATAATTTTATTTTTTTTTAATTACGTAATTTAAAATCAAAGTGGACAAAGAAAAAATAAAAGAGAGGTGGGGGAGAAAAAAAATAGAAGTAGATATGTATTAGTAGGGTTGTCTGATATTAATAAATGTGTTGGTTGAATTGATGTTTTTGAGCAAAAAAAATAAAATTTTTGGGTAAATTTTATACTATTTAATCAAAGGAGATAAAAATCAAATCAACCAGCAAGGTAGTGAAGAAATATTGATGAATTCCTTCAAGCTGGAGAGTATTTTGATACAATCTCTTGTGCTTTGATCCTTATTTAGACCTTCTGGGCAGGTATACCACCCAAGTTGGAAGTCCATCGTACCCGTTTAAGGTCGTCCCTAACTTCCACGTGATTATTAAGTAGAATTTGATTTATGAGAATAATGTAGTCTGCTAATTGACTTTAATGGTGCTGTGACAACAGACAATCCTTTCGAATTAATAACTATAACTTGACATTCCACAGTAAGAAAACCCTCATTGTCACACCCAAAGGTGGGTTCATCAGTGTTTTTTAGTTCAAGTAAATGTGCAGCAGAAGGCTAACACACTGTTGGGTAGTTTCTGTCCATCTCAATAAGAAAGATCTACACGTATATAAAACCGGAGAAAATCTTATAGTGTGCAAAAGTACATTGTTTCACACAAAATTGAAAATTACATATGTAGGGAGGGGTGAAGATTTCAAATGAAAAAAACAAATGGATAATTGCCAGAAGTTTTAAGATAGAGAATTAGAGGCATCAGGGACATCGTCAAGGATGAAGGGACCGAGTTTACCTATCCTGAATAAAGTGAGGAACTTCTTTGACACCATGGTACGAGCTTCAGATGCCTTGTGGGGTATCTTCAATGCTTTCTGGAGCGCTTCAAACTGCTGCTCTATAAGGCTCTCCAGATCACTTTCATTCTCCAAACTACCATTGAATTCCGAGAGAGGTGTGTATAGTGCACGCTGAACTTCAGTAACAATATCCTGCAAGGCAACACATTCAAGGATGTTGAAGGAAACGTTATGTTCAGATTGCTTCGGTGTTCTGAATTGCATTTTGATATTTGGTACCCATTATAGATCATGGATTACCTCAATGTAATGCACATCAGAGTTACTTTGGGGCTTCCTCCTTTTCGGCAGAAGATCTCTGAGGTTATACTCTTTTTTGTCATCAGATTCACACTTAAGCACCTCAGTTCCTCTACCATTCAAGTGCCTCCAGTGTAGGGGAGTGCTCCGAGTGTTCAGAACTGCTAGTAAATACTGAGCAATACGCTCTTCCCCAACCACAGAATCTTTCACGGACCCTGCATGGTTGTTTGAAATACTCAATTAGAACAAGGTACACTAAGAAGCAATAGACAATTAACATATTTCTGAACTAAATGACCTAACTACTGTACAAGAATTGATTGTCTTTATTATTTTTTTTTTTGGGCCGGGGGAGGGGGGGGGGG